AATGGCGGAGCCCAGGAGGTGTGGAGCTGCAGGTGAGCCAAGAGTTGCAATCACTGCACTCCGAGGCCTGGCAACAGGAGGGAGATCTGTCTCAAAAAAAAAAAAAAAAAAAGAAAAAAGAAAAATGTTATTGTTCCATTGACTTTGGTGATGGACAATTGTATAAATTGTGTTCGAAACTAATTCAATTTGACACTTCAAATTGCGTGGCAATTTATTCCAGGTTAATTGTAATTCGATGAAGCTGAGTAAGGAATTATTTTTAAAAAAACCCGCAGAAGAGTTGGAAGACAAGTTGTGGAAAACGCTGACAAAGAAGCATGTACAACAAAAGAGCTATAAAAGATGAGAATTTCAATAATAAAAAAATTAGAGACCGAGTCTAAGGGTGTCCAATTACTATATCAAGTGATTCCGCAAAGAGAAAAAGAAAGAGAGGGGCTGAAGTGGAAATCAACAATAATAGAGGAAAATGTCCTAATGCCAATGGGCGAGGGAATTTTATTTTACTTATTTATTTTTATTTTTGAGACGCGAGCTTCACTTTGTTTGCCCAACGCTGGTTGTCCAGCCCGCGACCCAGTTCAGCTGGAGTGCAGATGGTGCAATCTCAGCTGCACGCCACCCACCCGCTCCGGGTTCAAGCGATTCTTGTGCCCTCGCCTCCCCGCAGCTAGCTGGATAGGGCAGGCCCCGCCACCACACCCAGCTAAGTTGTGTATTTTAATAGAGATGGGGTTTTCACCACGTTGGCCAGGCTGGTGTCCGAACTCCTGAACGTTCAAGTGATCCACCCGCGCCTCGGCCCCCCCCAAAGTGCGTGGATTTACAGAGGGTTGAGCCAACAATGCCTGGCTGCGGTGGGGAATTTTAGATGGAAAGTTTCACTAAATGCTCAGTCAAAGGCTCCACAAGTGCGTTGGTTGGATAAAATAGATCCACGCGGCAGAGCGACACGATCAGGGAAATTTAAGGATCACTCGAGTAAAGTGAGAAGATGCTGTGCAAGGTTTTCAGAGGAGCGAAAAGACAGGTTACAGAATTAATTAAGAAAACAGATGCCGATTTCGGTTTCTTTTTTTTTTTTTTGATGATAGAATCTCACGTTTGTCACCCAGGCTGGGAGGGCATGTGGCGCGATCTCAGCTCACTGCAAGCTCCACTCCCGGGTTCACGCCATTTCTCTGCCTCCAGCCTCCCGAAGTAGCTTGTGATTGACAGGCGCTGCCACCCGGGCCGGCAATTTTTACTACTTTTTGGTAGAGATCCCGGGTTTCACCAGCTCGCCGAGGAATCGGTCTCGATCTCCTGACCTCGTGATCTGCCCATCTCGGCCTCCCAAAGTGCTGGGATTACAGGCGTGAGCCACCGCGCCTGGCCTTAAGGAATCAGTTTTCTTTACGTTTGGTGAGTAAACAATTTATATGTAATTAAAACAATTTTGGAGAAGGGAAGAAAGTACAACACTTGAAGGGCTGGATGAGTCTTCTGCTGGCTTCATGCTAACCCTGACTTGCCTCTTAATAGCAGCATTACATCAGTCCAACTTAATTCGGCAGTTGAGGCTCCATTTTCTGCGAAGTGGAGTCAGTCATCCTTGCCTCACAGTAAGGATTAAAAGGGGAAGTGAACACAAATCCCTCCAAATTTCTCAGCAGGGTGCTGATCCACAGGTGCTCAAATGTCAGCTTTCTCCCCTTCCCCTAGCTCATGGCACAGAGAATAGAAAAACTAAGAAGGAAAGGTATTTACCAAGGACTTTTTCTTAGTATGATTAAAAATAAGTGTCAGTCAGACACGGTGGCTCACACCTGTAATCCCAGAACTTTGGGAGGCTGAGGCTGGCGGATCACTTGAGCCCAGGAGTTCGAGACCAGCCTGGGCAACATACTGAGACCTTGTCTCCACACACACGAAAAGTGTGTATTCTAAACCATGACTAATTAGTGCAACAATGGAAAATTTCTAGATCAAATTCCTTGAAAACCTATTATCAGTGTTCTATGGTCTTTGATGTCTTAACCAGTCATTAAGAAATGAAACAGAGGCCTGGCGCGGTGGCTCACGCCTGTAATCCCAGCACTTTGGGAGGCCGAGGTGGGCGAATCACGAGGTCAAGAGATCAAGACCATCCTGGCCAACATGGTGAAACCCCATCTCTACTAAAAATATAAAAATTAGCTGGGCATGGTGGTGCGCACCTGTAATCCCAGCTACTTGGGAGGCTGAGGTAGGAGAATCGCTTGAACCCGGGAGGTAGTGGTTGCAGTGAACCGAGATCGTGCCACTGTACTCCAGCCTGGTGACAGAGCGAGACTCCATCTCAAACAACAAAAACAACAAACAAACAAAAAGAAACGAAACAGAAATAAGAGAAAAAAACTAAAAATGAATCCAACAAATATTTTGAGAATGAATATGAATTAGGAAGTAACAATATGAACTAGGAACTGACAAGTGACAATACTAGTTATTTGGAAATGACCAGCACTTCTTTACAGCAGAAACTCCCAGTGGACAAAAAACAAAATAGAAGATCTATTTTTTAAAAATATAACTTTATTAGGAGGCTGAGGCAGGAGATTGAAGTCCAGAGTTTGAGATCAGCCTGGGCAAAATACTAAAAAAAAAGACCAGGCACAGTGGCTCACACCTGTAATCCCAGCACTTTGGGAGGCTGAGGGGGGCGGATCACCTGAGGTCACGAGTTTGAGACCAGCCTGGCCAACATGACAAAACCTCATCTCTATTAAAAATACAAAAAATTAGCTGGGCGAGATGGCGTGTGCCTGTAATCCCAGCTACTTGGGAGGCTGAGGCAGGAGAATCACTTGATCCTGGGAGACGGAGGTTGCAGTGAGCCGAGACTGCACCACTGCACTCCAGCCTGGGTGACATCTCAAATAAAATAAAAAATAAAAAATAAATAAAAAGTAGCCAGGCAGTGGTAGGCACCTATAGTCTCAGCTATTTAGGAGCCTGAGGCAAGAGAATAACTTGAGCCCAGGAGGTTCAACGTTGCAGACAGCCATGATTACACCACTGCACTCCAGCCTGGTAACAGAAGGGGACTGTGTCTTAAAGAATATATATATACACACACACATATAACTTATATAAATTATACATTAAATTTATTATTTAAATATAAATAAATTCACGGAATAATTTATATAAAATATATATTTAAATTTACATAAATTATATATACACATAAAATTTTAATAGGAAATGGAAAAGCTATAAAACTTTCTTGAGTCACAAATTAAGTCTTCTTTGATGTCTGACTGGCTAACTGCTAATCATCCTTCACAAACCAGCCTCAGTGCTGCATCTCCAGGAAACTCAGAAATCATGACTGCGGAAACAGAGTGTGGGGAGGGGCCCGGGTACACTCAACTGTCGCTGGCTGTACTTTGATGTCATCACTCCACCTGACTATGAAATCTCTGTAGGCACAAAAGTCTTCTTCACCTCCCTCCATACTCCTCTCTCAAGGGTGCAATGAAAAATCAGACTCCTTGAATCATGAATGAATGGATGATTGAATGATTTAGGTAAAAACAGTGATGCCAAGGTGGTAGAACTGTGGATGAATTTCTTTTAATTGCCTCCATTTTTGTTCTAAGACTATTTGCATAATACAGAATAAAATATTTAAAATGCTTTAGTTTGGTAATGGAACATACAGATTCATAGATTATTCAGAATGCCATTGGATATATTTTAAAAAGTTTTTTGCCAAGTGAGTTTTAGAATTAAGATATTTAATTTCTGGCCAGGTGAGGTGGCTCACGCCTGTAATCCCAGCACTCTGGGAGGCTGAGGTGGGTGGATCACTTGAGGTCAGGAATTCGAGACCAGCCTGGCCAACATGGTGAAACCCCATCTTTACTAAAAATACAAAAATTAGCCAGGCATGGTGGCGCAAGCCTGTAGTCCCAGCTACTCGGGAAGCTGAGGCAGGAGAATTGTTCGAACCCAAGCGGCAGAGGTTGCAGTGAGCTGAGATTGCGCCACAGCACTCCAGCCTGGGCGACAGAGGGAGGCTCCGTCTCAAAAAAAAAAAAGAAAAAAAAAGATATTTAATTTCCATAACAGATTCGGTTCTAGATATTCCAGGTACAGAGTTATTTATTGTAGGATATAAATTCCTGCCTACTACACTGGGTTACTGTGGAAAATCTATAACAAAAGGTTTGTAAAAATACATGACACTCTGCAAAATGCTAGCTGATAGTGAACCGCTACAGTCTTGGGTAAGGCACTAAGCACTCTAGAATACTGGGGATTAAGGGAGCAAAACACATCACTGCCCTTAAGCCACCAGATACAATGAGCTCCTCAAGACAAGTAACCATCACCCAACTGTCATGTCTTTTGTATCCCCAGGCAACAAATCTGTGCTACTTACTCGGTGCCAAGCACCGAGATAGGTGTGAGCAACACGGCAAAATATACAATAAACCTGGTCTCCATGGCACATCGCCAGCCAACGATGGCCGGCAAAACGCAGAGGAGAAAGAATCCACGTGGGCAAACACATATGGAGGTAGCTGAGGAAAGTACAATGTGTAGCTGGAGGAGACACCTAGCAGGCACACGAACACTGGCTCCTAAGACCAGAAGCTGCCATGCTGTGGCTCCTCATGAGAGAGGGCAGGCACAGACTGCACTCAGATGCTGAACAGGACACCCAGGAATGGGCTGTGGGGAGAACTGCCCAGATGAAGTTGAGTCTTTTCTAGACCAGAGACTCTACTAATCTATGCCAAAGAGGGAGGGAAGAAAAATCATTGCTGGGAGGGTCCAGGCCTGCTACATTTTGGCAGTGCAGGCTAGAACAAATGTAGTAACAAGGTATTAAGGTGAACAAAGGTGAAAGAGGCTCTTTTCTCAATTCACAGACTGGTGCATTTGTGAGCCTCACTGCCTTCCCTACGGAGCCTTCCCTACCCAGCAGGGCTCCTCCCGGTGTCTCCCACACACATGATTCTTACCAAGACAGAAGCCTCCAGGGGTATCCTCTGGCATCCACACTTCCCTTTTCTCTAGCTGGGAAAACATATCTGGTTTGGGTCCTAAGAGTCCTGTTTTTAAGGGGAGACAAAAATAAACCACATCTGTTTATACAAGAGATAAAAATCATTGCAAAGACAAAGCCTGGTCCTCAGAACTTGCTGGAAAAGAGGACTTGATAGGAAAGCGCAGGGCCAGGTGTGTTCCCAGCGGGAGGAAAAGATGACTGAGGCCTGACACAATCTGTTCCCATGTTCCTCTCCTTGCCAGAAAGAAAGCGTTTGACCCTAGTCACTTCTGAGGCATCCGCAGTGGACTCCAAAAGAGGCCTGTGTCCAGGACACCAAGGACAGGTAAGTATCAATAGCACCATTGAAGACAGCGTCCTCAATTGGTCCAGCCGAATCTTCTATATGGTGTCAATGGAAAGGTCCTAAAGAGATCCCCAAAAGTGAAGAGAAACCTTGCAGGGGTCCCACTTACCCAGTGAGACCAGGTTGCTGTAGTTCTCCAGCATCACGTCCCTGTACAGGGCCCTCTGGGCTGGGCTCAGCTGCCCCCACTCTTCCTGGGTGAAGAGTACAGCCACATCCTTGAAGGTCACCGATTCCTGCAACAGCAAATTCATTCTCCTTGACCAGGGGCTACCCATGTACATGGTTCTCTAGAAAAGAGACTGGCAGCCTCCAGAAGCTTGTGGAGATTTACAGGACTGCTGACACAGGGAGCTGGCGTTCCGTGGCAAGTTAGTCACTCTCCAGGGTCTCCTAGGGGCCTAGCTTTGGACTAGACATTGCTCCCCACTCTGAAGAAACATATATGGTGGTGAAGATAGGCTTCCTCAGCACTGGGACTTCCAACTTGCCATCCATTCAGCCCAGAACATTTTCTCCATCTCCCTCACACCGCCTAGCCCTGCCTCTCCCCTCACCCCAGGGGACCAAATCCTATGCAGGTCTCAGCATAGACACTGCTTGCTCAGCGCAGCCTTCCCTGATGGCTCCTGCAGTTGTCTATGAGGACCCATCAAGACACTGCCCCAATTTATTGTGATGTTTGGTTTACTCTGTCTCCCCCACGGGACTGTTAACTCCAAGATGTGGGCTGTCTGTCTCCACGTCTCCTGGCCTTCCCCACATCTGGAACACGGCCCACGTACTCAACACCTATCTGCGGCTGCTCAGCAACTCCTGCTTTTCTTCAGGGTGTACATACACACACACCCCTCCCCACACACACCCCCATATCCACACTCCCTCACAGACACACACACCCCCATACCCACACTCCCTCACAGATACACACCCCCCCATACCCTTCCACATACACACACACACACACAACACACACCCATACACACACACCCATACACACACACACCCATACCCACACTCCCCCAGAGACACACACACCCCCAATACCCTTCCACATACACACACACAACACACACCCATACACACACACACTCCCATACCCACACTCCCCCACAGACACACACACCCCCATACCCTTCCACATACACACACACACGCACAACACACACCCATACACACATACACCCATACCCACACTCCCCCAGAGACACACACACCCCCATACCCTTCCACATACACACACACAACACACATCCATACACACACACACCCCCATACCCACACTCCCCCACAGACACACACACCCCCATACCCTTCCACATACACACACACACCCATACACACACACACACCCCCCCACACACACCCATACCTACACCCCCCCACAGAGACACACACACACACACAAACACACACCCATACACACAACACACACCCATACACACAACACACACCACCCATACACACAACACACACCCATACACACAACACACACCCATACCCACACCCTCCACAGAGACACACACACCCCCATACCCTTCCACATACACACACAAAACACACACCCATACACACAACACACACCCATACCCACACCCCCCCCACAGAGACACACACCCCCATACCCTTCCACATACACACACAAAACACACACCCATACACACAACACACACCCATACCCACACTCCCCCACAGAGACACACACACCCCACACCCTTCCACACACACAAACACACACACACATACAACACACACCCATACCCACACTCCCCCACAGAGACACACACCCACACCCTTCCACATACACACACAAACACACACACATACACACACACACCCCCATGCCCACACTCCCCCCACACACACACCCACACCCTTCCACATACACACACACACAAACACACACCCATACACACACACCCGAGACACATACACAAGCGCGCGCACACACACACCTACAAACACATACACACCCATACCCACACTCCCTACACACAAACACATAGCACACACACACACCCCCATACCCCTCCACATACACACACACAACACACATCCCCCACAACATTCACACACACACACAAGCGCACACACCCATATCCATACCCCCCCCACATACAAACACACATAAACTCACACAGAGGCACACACACAGAGACACACGTGCACACACACCCATATCCATACACCCACATACACATACAAACACCAACACACACAGACACACACAAGTGCACACACACATACACACAACACATACCCATACCCCCCACATACATAGAGACACACACAGAGACACACAAACTCACAAAGACACACCCCTATACATCCCCCCACAGACCCTCAACACACACGACACACACACAAGCACACCCACACCTGAACACACCCAAACACACACACACCCGAACACACCCACACACACATACAAATACCCCCACACACCCTGTGACATACACCCTCAACACACACACACGCATGCACAGGTGTGCATATGTGCATACACACACGGGTCCCATGGAACTAGTCATTCTACACAATAGGACCTTGTTCCTTCTGATTAGAACTAGTCCCTTTCATAGAAACCGTGAGATGGGGTCACAGAGGAAAGTCTCTGCCCTGACACACAGGTGTACCCGAAACCTGACCTAGCATGTAAAATCCAGTAGCTGTTACAGCTCTTGTCTTCCCAGTTGGCTGAGAAGTTAAGGGAGCTGGCGTTCACTGAGAAAGAAGAGGTAAGCAGAAGCCCAGAGAAGGAACCAAAGGTCTATGAGAAAGGACTCTCAGGTTATTGTAGACCCCACTTCCACAGTCAACATCCAGTTGTGTCTTCGCCTTTGCTTTTGGGGAAACACCTCCATATCTTTCCAATAAGTGCCTGCTTCTGCCTAAGGCAGTCTGAATTAGGTTTCTGTTACCTGCACCCAGATACTTGGCCCATGGCAGGCAGTCAAGAAACACTTTGATGGAAGCCATGAACCCATTTGTCAGAGACCATTTATCATTCACTTTGTATTTGTAGCCCAGATCATAATTCCTGGCACATTTTACAGCCCTAACATGTGTCTGTTGAATGGCAACAAAATTAAGGCAGCCTATAAACACAAGATAAATTGTATGACACCAACAGTGACTTTGAGGAAAAGGTTAGGGAAGGAAAATATCACAGCAGACTGGCACTGTGGGTGGAGACAGGTTTCACAGAAAAAGTGGTGCATGAGACAGGTCCCAAGTGACAAGTCAGAAGCCAAGAGGAGGGGAGCAGCCGGTGAGCTGTGCTATGTTGAACATGGCGCTCCCACCTAGCTGGTCATCCTTTCCAGTGATTCCTGCCACACATTCCAGTCCTTGGGGAGGTTTAAATGTGAAGGAATTAGAACAATTTAACCAAATCTATCAGAATGTATATGCCCAAATGAATGCTGTCTCCTTCAAAGCACAGTCCATATTCTTATTCTAAAGATGCTAGGACTGTTCAAGTGTTTTAGGAAATTATAGGACTTTTTGGAAGCATAGTCTTTTGAATAATTTCATTGGTAAAAAAGCCAAATTTCATAAAAGAAAAAGCCTAGTAAGTCACACCTCCTCAAAAGTGTTCCCACGATGCCCTTCTTTGAGCTCTGTGTGAGGTACTGCCCTGATATGGTTTGGATGTATGTCCCTTCCAAATCTCCTATTGAAATGTGACCTCCAGTGTTGGAGGTGGGGCCTGGTGGGGGCTGTTGGATCAAGGGGGTAGATTCCTCGTGAATGGCTTAGTGCCGTCCTCTTGGTGATGAGTGAATTCTCGCTCAGCTGGTTCACATGAGATCCAGGTGTTTAAGAGTCTAGGACCTCCCACTTCTCTCTCTTGCTCCCTCTCTCACCGTGAGATGCACCTGCTCCCCCTTCACCTTCTGCTATGATTGGAAGCTTTTAAAGGCCTCATCAGAAGTAGATGCTGACACCATGCTTCCTGTACAGCCTACAGAACCGTGGGCCAATTAAAATTCTTTTCTTATCAATTACCCAGCCTCAGGTATTTCTTCAGAGTAAGGCAAAAAGGGACTAATACATGCCTTTACCACTTCAGATCCCTAATCTTACTTGCTAGTGAAAAGAGTACAGGTTTTGATTTCACAGGAACCTGGGTTCCAGTCTCAGCTGTAACATATATGTGACCTTTAGCAAGTTATACCCACACCCACCAGGATAAGCCAGATATGGGGTGAGGGTGGAGGGTGTGGGGTGGGTGGTGGTTGGGGAGAGGCAACTGAGGTCAGTGTCTGGGTGGGACTGGATTGGGAGAAAAGCTCCCGATCTGAGGAAGGAAACATGCCACACTCTTCAAATCCAGAAAGCAATTTAGGGGGAAGAAACCCCCACTCACCTGGCCCATGGTTGGCAGGTGGTTGACAGCCATTCTTTCTTCTCCGATGAGCCCTCTTAGGGACAGGCAAAGTGCTATGGAAGCAGGTGTGGAGCTTCACACCTGCAGAACTCCTCAGGCTAGAAGGGTCTACACACCTGCTGTTAGGAGAGGACTGGGTCAAAAGCTCTCATACAGCAGTCCAGAGCGAGGCAGAGAGCGTTCACATCCTGGGAGGACGCCAGGACCCCAGGCAGTGAGTGTTCTAGTTCCTGTTTGCTCCCCATTCTCTCTCCTACTTCAGAGGGTACTATACATTGACTTTTCCTTGCAGAAAGCCTGTTCCAGGCCCAGATCTCATGCCTTCCACCCATCCTCTGGTCTTTCCCTTCAGCCTCACTGGGCGATCTCAAGAGAATTTTTTTTTTGAGACAGAGTCTCGCTCTGTCACCTAGGCTGGAGAGCAATGGCATGATCTTGGCTCACTGCAAGCTCTGCCTTCCGGGTTCAAACGATTCTCCTGCCCCAGTCTCCTGAGTAGCTGGGATTACACGCACCTGCCACCACGCCCGGTTAATTTTTATATTTTAGTAGAGACCGGGATTTCACCATATTGGCCAGGCTGGTCTCGAACTGCTGACCTCAGGTGATCAGCTCGCCTCGGCCTCCCAAAGTGCTGGGATTACAGGTGTGAGCCACCGCACCCGGCCGAGAATTATCTCTTTAACAAGTTATTCAGCTCCAGAATCCACCAGGATGTACCCGAAAAGGTGGGAGCGATGGGCAGAGGCAACTGAGGGCAGTGTGTGGGTTCGATTGGATTGGAAGACCGCTCCGCTCTCCCTCGGCGGCTTTGGAACAGCTGCCTTATCTGGGAGTGACAGGAGAAGAGGAAAAGGTGGGTCGTCGTCTTCCTCCTCAAAAAGGAGGCTAAGAAGGCTGGCTCTTCACTGTCGCAGCCTTTCAGGCAAACCCTTCTCTGGCCTCAGGGTTCTCACTCTCTGGGGCCCAGTTTGGGTGGCCTGGAGTCACGGGTGGGCAGAAGCGGCGTTTGTGTGAGTTGGGGGAGGGGAGAGGGAAGGGTTAGGAGCCCTAATCACACACAACCCCCTCCCGCCCCTGCTGCTTCGCCGGGTCCCTTGGGGGCTGCTGCACCGGCCGCCTCCGGCCTCGGAACCACGCCAGGCGCGTATCTACCACCTGAGCGGAAACCTCGGGCTTCTCAGAGTCCGCTCCAAGACACAGGCCAGAGGCCCTGGCTCCATCTCCTCCACAGGCACTCACAGACTCGACCCCAAGCCCAGGATGACCACCCCTGGCCGTCCTCCCTCTCTCCGTTTGGGATCAAATCTCAGACATACATTCCGGGAAGTTTGGGGCATTGGATCACCGTCCTGCAGAAGGGACCACAACCGCACCTCCTCGGCTTTGCCTCCGCCCTTCTCCCCAGACGACCTCACGACCGCTCCCGCTCTCCCTCTGCGGCTTTGACCACCGTGCCTGGTCACCCCCGTGTCGCCCTTCGAGGAGCCTCTGCCGGCGGCGAGAGATCGCAAGCGCCACATCGCAGTCGGAACACAATGAGCTGGAGTCTGCAGCCGGGAGCTGAACTGCGCTTGCGCGTTGCCCTGGGAACCGTTGGGCCGAATTCCCACAAGTCTCAGGGCTGCTGCGGTTCCGCCGGCCAGACTCCACTTCCCAGAGGGAGAATCGGCGGAGACCGTGCTGCCTTGCGCCTGCGGGAACAGGGCCCCGCCCCCGGGCTTTAGGCGCGGAAACTACCTTTCCCAGAGGCCCCTTCGCGCCGACCTCGGCGCGCTCATCAGAATCTGGAAGCTGGTGGATTCTGGAGCTGAATGAACTTACGGAATCGGTTCCGTTCGCTTTAGAACCAGGTCTCTGCCTCGCACGAAGGCCCAGGAAGATGCAGACCAGCGAAAAGCTGCAGATGGGACAAGGGAGGTTAGTCCAGGGGAGCGACGCCCGATCGCCGACGAGAGAGGACGGTGAAGGTCCGGAAGACGGAGTAGGAGGCGACCGGGCGCGTTCCTGACGGGGACCGCGCGGAAAAGGCCTGGAAGGCGGCAGGTTTGCGCCTTGGCCTGGCAAGCGCCCGACGCTTCCAGCCTGGCCCCGCGGGCGGGCCAGTGCGTGCTGGGGTGGAGACGCCACAGCCGTTAACGCGTGTGCGGTGCGGGGGGACAGGATGTCGGGCGGGGATGTCCTGCTTGGCACCTCAGGACAGAGCCCATGGTGGCCGGCGGCCGCTGGAATATTCGGAACGCAGAACACTTCGCGCTTGGGGACTTCTCAGAGGTGGGGAAGACGGAGAGGAAGGAGCCTGGATACCAGGAAGTCTGCATCCTGGACAGCTGGGTGGTGTTTAGAAGGTGGTATTTATTTTTGCTGACCATATTTTGCAGAGACTGGCAAGGATGAGATGATGCCTAAGAATATCCAACTGGAGATACTTGGTTGCTTTTGAATAGGTAATCTGCATGGCGCTCAGGAAGGAAACATGAGAGGGTTTTAACTTTGTGGGTGGTGAAAAAAAATCAGGAACGTGACCCGTTTGTCACATTCGGAATCGTTGGCCACGTTTTAGGAAGCAGTGTCAGTGACTACAGCGTTCTGTTTGGAGTTTTATTGAAGATTTCATTCTATAGACATTTTGGAGCACTTATGTGTCAAGTGCTTGGCAAGGCCAGGGGCAGCCGCTGTAGCAGTTCCCAGGGACCCCGTAAAGCACCAGAGGGGGAGGATGTTGTGTGAGTATCGCTGGTAACCCTTCTCTCTCCCCTCCCTCGTGACTCCAGGTCACTCAAACTGGGCCCGGGAGAGTGAGAACCCAGAGTCCAGGGGCTGGAGAAATGGCTGTGAAACCCCTGCACTCATGGAGTTTTAGTTGTACTAGAGGAGGGGTCAGACAAGTAGAAAATACTTATCGGATAGTGATAACACTACTGTTAGGGGTCAGGGTGTGATGGGACGGAGAATTACTTCAAGCAGCAGTTTTGGAAGTTCTCTTTGAGGAGGTAACATCTGAGCAGAGATGTGAATGCAGTGAGGGAGGAAACGATGTGAACGTGTGGGTAAAGTGCCTTCTAAACGGAGGCAACAGAAATGCTGTCCAGAGAGAAGTGTGCTTGGTCAACTCCAGGCTTGGGAAGGTCAGTATGACTGGCGAGGGCCTAGTGAAGAAGGAAGAGTGCGAGATGGTGTTGCAGGCCTAACTACAGGCCTTGAAGGAAGGAAATTTGGATTTATTCTGTGTGCCTGGAAATGAGTAGATTCGAAACGGAGTGACATGGCTGGGCACATTTTGATAGAAGCACCGGTCAGCTTCAAGGAGGGCAGACAGTGGTGGGGCTAGAGGGGATACAGGAAAACCAATGAGGCGGCGATGACCGCAGTCCACAATTAAACAAGTAGCCTCCCACAATTATATAACCTTTCTACAAGGCATTTGCTTTGAGAGCCTAATGATTCTAAGATACGGAAGGGTTCTGGGTGCTATGCTCAGGAGTTTGGATATTATTGTTTTCAGGAATATAAGAATAATATGTATTGAGCACTAACTACATGTTGGGCAGGTTTTTTTGTTTTTTTGGTTTTTTTTTGAGACACAGTTTCGCTCTTGTTGCCCAGGCTGGAGTGCAATGGCGCAATCTTGGCTCACTGCAACCTCTGCCTCCCGGGTTCAACCGATTCTCCTGCCTCAGCCTCCCCAGTAGCTGGGACTACAGGCATGTGCCACCACGCCTCACTCATTTTGTATTTTTAGTAGAGACGGGGTTTCTCCAGGTTGGTCAGGCTGGTCTTGAACTCCTAACCTCAGTTGATCCACCTGCATCGGCCTCCCAAAGTACTGGGATTACAGGCGTAAGCCACCGCGCCTGGCCATGTTGGGCACTTTTATAAGCACTTTACATTATCTAATGCAACCAAAAACTGAGGTTTGTCCTATTAATAAATGAGAAAACTGAGGCACTGATCTGTTAAGTGCCTTGCTCAGGTCCCATGTCCTTGGAACCAGGAGTCCTTCTCCTGTTGATGTTGGAAGGTTCAAAAGTGCTCTTATTGTCACCCAGATGGCAAAGAACTGACATACAAAGGGCCAAGTCTTCCAGAACTGAAAACAGTAATAAAACCTTCATTTATCTGACCCGTTTGTCCTGGTGATGCTGTAGTCTGCTAGGAGTGCCCTTCCACAGGCAACTAAAACAAACAAAAAAGCTGTTCAAGCCGAAGAGCAGCAGTGACACCTGTGATACGAAGCCTGACACACCCGTTGGCTTTAGCCAGGACTCACACACTATACTGTTCTGAGCATTCACTGAGGAAGGCCCTGCTTCTGTCAAGGATTCTCATTAGGAACCAGTCTCCTCAGAGAAAGGAGGTGAAAATGTGGTCTGGAGAACCCCCTTCCCTTCTGCTCTATTAACTATGGATATGCAAATGAACACTTACATTTGACCAAGACCTGCATCACCAGACTGTTTCCTCTTCCCCAGGACAGTGGCTACTAGCCAGTAATTCCTGGGGTCCGTTTGCTAAGCCCTGTTAGGACCTTTGCAGTGTGATGTAATAAGATCTTCCTTTAGCCTCATTTCTTCCCACTTCTTGACTTCTACTCTCTGCTTAAATCATACACCTCTTAGAATTTCCTGAATATACACTATGCTCTCTTAGCCTCTCTTGCCATTACTCCTATTCTTCCCTGCACCTTCTCATTTCCTCCCCTCTTCTGTTCACCCAACTAATTCACTCTATGGCACTATGTGCTAGGAGCTACTTGACAGCAGAGATCAGGCGTCATTTACCCTGAATTCATAGAAGCCGACTTATGCTAGGAGCTCAATGTTAGTTGCTTGAATGAACTACACTATGAGTAGGAACAAGGTCTTACTCATCTTTGTCACAATAACATGCAGCACAGGCCAATCACTTATGAGTCTCTTGACCACAGACCATCAGATAATGCCAATGTGTATACAGACAGAGAAATAACCTACCTCAATTAAGTTCTCAGCATTCATAAATATTTCAGAGACCTTTCTCCTCCAGATCTGTTGTGATATTTTTCAGGAGTCAGGCAGTTGGAAGCTATGCAGTATGTAGGAGAGGGGTACTGGCACCATATTCTGCAGCTCCACTTTTATTCGTCAGAGAACCCTGACTGGTAACCTCTTTAAATGCCCAGAGGCCCATTTCACAGAGCTCAAGTGGAGGGAATGGCCCTATTTGAGTCTTCTGGATGATGATCCAGCCAGAGAGGAAATACCTTGGTCACCCAATTCTCTATAGTTCCAGAGGGTGCTGTGTTTCTTGCTACCTAGTGCATCCGAACTCCTGGTTTATTTCAGACTTCCCTACCGTGAGCTCCTTCTGAGCTCCAAATCACTAGCAACTACTGAGTGGGTGCTCAGTAAAAACTCATGACATACGGGTCATATCTGTCAGTTTGCCGCACACAGGCTCGACTGCATGGCCAGTGATCACATGGAAGGCCTCCTCCCACCAGCTGACTGGATGGGTACTTAGCCAGAAAAGGTGACTTGTGAGGCTTGTCTTAAAAGGATGATCAGGACCAAATGGGTTTCTTTCATGGAATTTTAGAATTAGGACAAAGACACTTGGGTGTTAGAAGATGAAAGTTCACTAGATATGAGAGTTGATGCTGACATCTTGGGTCATGTGCAAATTTAGTTGTAAGCAAAGGAATCCAACCACCAGTGAGGGGATGGACAAAGCAGTAACAGAACCCATGTGGTGGTGGTAGCAGTGGCGAGGGGTGGGGGATGAAGACAGGGGGAGAGAGCAGGCACACGTACTTGGCTGCTGGTGGTTCCCAGGTGCCACAAGGCCTGGCTGTACTGCACTTTAAGTTACAAAAAATCCTCATATATTACTGAAACTTCAGTTCTCCCTGAGAACGGACACTGAAATGAAGGGCTTGGGCTTAACAGGATATGGTAACAAGGGTCCTCCCTCCCAGACCCTTATACTCCCAGAACTCCTCCCAGTTGGTTGGATTCCTTTGCTTACAATTAAATTTGCACATGACCCAAGATGTCAGCATCAGCTCTCCTATCTAGTGCTTTCATCTTCTAACACCCAAGTGTCTTTGTCCTAATTCTAACATTCCACAAAAGAAACCCAATCAGTCCAGATTATTACTGTTTCACAAATAAACAGCACCCTTTCCCTCATTCCAAGTTTGGAGGCTGGAGGAGGATGGGGCAAATAATTGACACTGAGATTCTCCACTCTTCTGCCCCCGCCTCCTTCCGCACATACAGTTCTTAACTCAGCATGCAGATCCTGGGTCTCCTTGCCTATCTTCAAATACAAACCATTGGAGTTAGAGCAGGAAAGAAGGGGGAATAAAACATCAGACTAGCCGTATCCTCGGGAACTTAGATTTTTAATAATCTCTCTCTTCTACAGGGTCTCCTCCTCTCCAGATTTTATTTATTTTTTTCTTGTTCCCCACATGATCTCAAGAGATAGAACTAGAGGGGAAGAAAGGAGGCAGACAAAAGAAATGGGTAGCAAATAGATGGAAATGATAAAGACAGCAGCAAAATAAAGCTCAAAAGACAAGCA